ATATCAAAGAATGCAAACATTTGGTCTAGTAAAGTTAGAAACACGTGTTAAGAGCTTCCATGCAGCATTAATATAACGCAATGTGCAAAACACTAATTTATTTTGTTCAATTAGGCGAAAAGTTGTATAAAAATTACAAATTTGAATTAATATAACTCCTGGTAAAAATATAAAATATCTAAAGCGCGACCGGAAATTAGTGTTCAATGCATATTCTACTCAATAGCCAATATTCTCGTATAAACCAGTCATCAATTGCTTGTTTTCCGGTATACAAAGTTCCGTTAAGTATGCTTCCAATGAATTAAAATCTAAACCATTCAAGCCATGTTCAGGTTCTATGTTTTGAAGTAAAAAATTAGAGTTTAGAATATTAGAACTATTTTAATGATAAAATATTGGAACTGAATGAGAAACAGCATGTTTCGTAAAAGAAAATGTTTTGGGATGCGCTATTTGCGAAATTTCGACCAATTACTTAAGTGTACATGATGTTACAAAATGATGTGGAACAGATAAAATCGTTAGAAACGTGGGTATTCAAAGTTATAATAGATTTAAGAGTTGATTTAATGCATCCACATCGAACCCTTCTCTGCCAATTTACTATTATTAAAATACCGTGTATAAATTATTCGTCTTCGATGGTCTCCGTATTCATATAATGTTTGTCACAATCTAAATCAATAAAAGACTCATTAAAACTTCATAATGTAGTTATACCGAAAATGAAACATTTGTGCATCATTCATGTTTATGTCCCATGCGAATTATCGGACTTGTTTGCAGATTAAACACATGTTTTTATATGGAACTGCCAAATACGATTTTTTAAATTTATAATTGTTACATAAACACCCCGCCTGTATTATACATTATTTGAACATAAAAATGTATGCTCAGTGCAACAGTGCATAAACTGCAATACGAGATTCGCGAGACCTTTTTTTTATTCTTATCGTATTTAATCTGAACTTAAAGCTTCAAACGGCTTTCTTTTCCAGTTACAGATTTGAACATTACAAAAAAAATTAGATATCTAAAAAGATCATAATTACATTTAGGAATGTTTTCCGGGCTTTGAAGCCGTGGTCTATCGGAATTTCTTCCTGACGTTTCGTCCACAACTGCGGTGGACATTTTCA